GCTGTGTTCATCCAGCTCTACACCTTGTTATCTCTTTCCTGAGTTATCCTCTTTTTCCTTATATTTTTTTAAAACATGTTCAGTTTACCTTAACGTTACCTTTTCTTATCCCCTTTTATTAGGGATGGGGACTGCCGCCCTGACCTGGTCTGGCCTGCAAGTGACACTGGACTGACAGCAATGTGGTTGATCTTAACTACCCTCTGGGCAATAAGTGCTGGACAAGTCAGTGATGCCCGCATCCCATGAACAAATATAAAAACAAAATTCTTTTGCCTTCCAGTTCCTGTTTTAATTGCATTCCAGCACTTTCTATGCTCCTCTTAGCTTCCTGCAACTCAGCTCGTGGGGAGAGAGATATGGAATCGTAGAACAGCACATTACAGGAGGTGGTAATTCATCCGTTGTGTCTAGCTAGCTATTTCCAAAAGCAATTCATCAAGACTCACTTCCTCACTCTTTCCCCATATCCCTGCAATTTTTTCTCCTTCTGTTATTTATACACTTCTCTTTCAAAGCTATCACTGAATCAGTATCCACAACTTTATCAGGCAGGGTACTCCTAAACTTGTCCAGTCATTGTTTAATACCAGTTTTCCTCATGTTGACGATCTGTGCTGTTTGGTTATCAACACTTCAGCCATTGGAAACAGCTTATTTTCATTTACTCTGCTAACGATTTTAAACTCCAACAAATCTCCCTTGGACCTTGTCTGCCCTACGGAAAAGTGAGGAGGCGATGGCCTAATGGTATTATCACTGGATTGTTAATACAGAGACCCAGATAATGTTCTGGAAAGCTAGGTTCGAATCCCGCCACAGCAGATGGTGAAATTTGAATTCAATATTAAAAAAAAAATCTGAAATTAAGAGTCCAATGATGTTCATGAATCCATTGCCAGGAAAAACCCAACTGGTTCACTAGTGTCCTTTAGGGAAGGAAACTGCCATCCTTACCCGGTCTGGCCTACGTGTGATTCCAGACCCACACCAATGTGGTTGACTCTAAACTGCCCTCTGAGCAATTAGGGATGGACAATAAATGCTGGCCTAGCCAGCGACGCCCTCATCCTATGAATGAATAGGAGGAAAAAAAAACAACAGTTTCTCCAGGCTGTCCACACGACTGCAGTCTTTAATCCCCAGAACCATTCTAAACAACATCATCTGTATGCTTAAAATCCATCCAATCTCCCCTTGAAGACTATGCCAAGGACTGGAGGTAATACTTCACCAACTTTCCTTTTTTGCCTTGCTCTAAGTGGGGCCAATAGTGCGAGATCAATAAAGCAATCCATCTCGAGCATCATTGAGAAAAATTGAAAATTGACACCACAGCAGCAATTCGCGATAGTTTTGAGCTCCAGGCATAGTGATCAGAACAGGTCACTCTCCAGGTGGGACAATGGTACACTCCTTTCAAAATCCAGAACCCACCACTGGCCCCTCACAGGCTCTGGTAACATCTGTCTCTATTACAGAAACAACTGTGAGACTGGACAGATGGGCATCTCTACTATATCTTTACACCTCAGACCCCTGAGATTAGGGATACGTTGCTTCCCGTATTGGGGAATCTCCTTTTACTTTAGGATTAGAATGAGATACAATACTCAAGGTGCCATTTGACCAATTTTCTCAAAGTGGTGCTCTACACTTTGTTTCCCCCAATGTATCCCAGGATTTTTTTTTCTCTTTAATATCGTTTTATATGTTGTATTGGAGAGAGATCAAAACCAGTTGGAGGTAGACATGGCTGAACACCCCTGTTCAGACAGCAAGCATGACCCAGAGCTTCCAGTCATTTGCTATTTTGATTCTCCACCACATTTCCACTGACTCACGTAATTCTCTATCCTTGATCTCCAATACTGTTCCCATGAAAGCTCAAGCAAAGTATTCAATTAGACACTTTACGACCTTACAGACTCACCATCATTTTCAATAATTTCAGATCACAACCACAGTTCTTATTCTTCCACGTGCAGGTGCTGTAATGATTCTGCTGTTCATTTAATCTCTTCTTGGCTTTCAACATCACAGTTCCTCCCTTTTGTTCTTTCTATCCATCCCCTTTCCCTGTATCTGAACTGTCTTAATACTAGTTATATCTATAACCAGTTCCAGTTATGGCCCAAAGCCATAGGCATAACATCTTAACTCATTTCCCTCTCCATAGGTGCTGCCTGCTCAACCGAATATTTTCGGCAATCTGTTTTGATTTCATATTTACATTCTCTGCAGTATTTGCCTTCTTTTTCCCCTCTTTTATTCTTACGGATGTTTATGGCTATAACATGCACATCCATATCTCTCGGTAAATATTAAGTAACATATTTGGCACGAGGAGAGCTACACCTTACACTAAATGAACATGACTGAAGCAGACATGACATATTTGCAGATGTGTGTTTAGGTATATCTTATACACGCACCGATTAACTAAATGAGCATGTTGACATTTTTCCTTAGACATTCCCACTAATGTAAATAAACTACATAAACCTGATAAACAATGCACATTCACACAGTAATGCCTATAGATACTTCATCTCTCCATAAACAAAAGCCTATGGCAGCATATATACGTGTCGACATACTTCTTCACGTATATTCTGCATGCAAACTCAATGCTATAATAAAATGTCCAAGTAAGATCTCTTAAATCTAACCAGTAGGTCTTGCCATCCTGAAGAATGTTCCATCAGCTGCCCTTCTTCCTAAATCTGGACGCGGATTGAATTTATAAGTCTGGGGAGGCTGTAATATATAACTGCCAGCACAAAGAGGACTGAATGTCCTTCATCCGTATTGATTTTGAATCCCCACGGGCTACAACTAATCAAATCAGAACAATGGTCATTCTGACAATGCTGTTTGTAATTCCCTGTACTCTCCATTTTCATAGGCCACCCTGAGTAGAACATTAACCATCGGGATGGAAATTCACAAGATAACTGAGTAATGTTAAGATCTGCATTGGCAACCAGTAAACCAAAATAATCAAAATAACTAAAATGACTCCCAAATGAAGAAATTAACACCATGTCACTTTTTTAAAAAGTTATTGCTTTCAGGTAACTCAAAACCAATGGAAATTAAACATGAATTAACCTGCAAATGATGCTTAAAAACAGATTAAACTTTTTTTGAAAAAAAGTTCAAGTTATTTTTCTAAGCAACCTGTTCAGTGACATTATTACACACCTCTGGAGCAGGTGGGACTTGAACCCAGGTGTCTCTGTTCGGGGTAGGAACACTACCAGTGTAGTGCAAGAGGGCCCCTAAACTGATAAAATTCACTTTACACACAGTTGATTGATAAATGATGAGTTTTATATAACAGTAAGCACCCGCATCACTCCTTACATAAACGTATCACCACAGACCTTCCAACTTAATCAATTCATCCCTCAAGTTGCATTTTCTGGCATCCAATGTGCAAAGGTCTTGCAGTATATCACAGCAGTTCACCAATCTATCCTCAAATGTATTAATAGGATCACTGATACGCTGCTCTGGATGAGTGGTAGCTGCTCTGCAGAGTGTAACACTGGTATTCTCCCACCCCGCCACTCCACTAGTGCCCTTGCTGTGACCCATCATTCAGGCAACTCCAATAGCTGCCTCCTATGCTTAAATTAAGTTGCCTATGACCAGGTCTTCCAGTTCCAGAGCTGTTCAAGGCCATGCTTCACAGACAAACACAGCCTTACTAATGGCATAGATGCAATTTAAAACATCCAAGCACTATCAACACAATCAGGTCAATTCAATTAATCTCAGATAGCAAGCAGACACAACCAAATCACTTGGAATGGGAGTCTCTAGCCATATAGCTCATTGCCTAGAGTCATATGTCAATCCGAGTTCAATTTAAACTTTGCGTGAGTCTATCAAAATCACAAATCTGATTAGAAGGGA